TGACCCTCAAATTAAGTATCATGTGCTTGACTCTGTGTTCAGGCTTCATATACTTTATATAAAATCCCAACAATCTTTATTCCCATTTTACAGGTAAGAGAATTAAGATTTAAACAGATTATTAATGCCTGCCCAACACTAACAAACAAGGAGTGGAGCCAAGATTGACACCAGCCCCATGGAATTCTCTTCCCTAAACTGCTTCCACCCAAGGAAGACAATTTTAGAATTGGCCCATGGAGAAGGAGGAGGAATTGGGGCTTGAGGACAGAGAACCTCTTTTTACTCAGGTCCAGCCTGATGCCACTCCTCATAAGCCACTTACTCTACTGGAGCTGTCCAAGGGCAGGGGCTGAATGTGGGGTCCCTAATAAGCCAGTGCTGAAGTCTGGGGTTGAGAGGTCCCCAAACAGCCACCAGGGAAGAATAGCTCTTATCCCTTGGGAGTTTAATGAATGTCTCACCATCCCCACCTGGGGACATTCTGAGTGGTAAGACCACACACACACATGTTATAGCTTCTGTTTTGAACCTTTGAGGGATAGAGAGCAGACAGGGAACTGAAGGGTCTATAATAAAGGGTGAGAGACCCAGACTGTGCACCAAGAGAGCTTGGGTACCACCAAGTATGACTCAGTCAGCTCTTGGTGCCTCATGGGTCAAAGCCTCAGGAGCTTCCCACTCCCATTCCCAGGAGGACAGAGAAGCCTAAAGGATCATCAGCCTCACTGAGGCTGTCACAGAGATGTCCCAGCCCTGAGACCAACGTTACCAGCCTGGGTGGGAAGATAGGTGTCTCAGTTACTTTTTTGTTACTGTGACCACATACATGAAAGAAACAAGTTAGGAAAATTTTTATTTAAGTTCACAGTTTCCGAGGTCTTAGTCCACCATGGCAGAGTGGACATGGTAGAGCACCTCACAGAACGGTGGGCAGGAAACACAGCCGAGAAAATACTTGTGATGGTCTTCTTTCTCCTTTTACCCATTTTATTCCACCAGCCTAAGGGATGGTGCCACCCACATTCAGGGTAGGTCTCCCTCTCCCTCTCTCTCTCTCTCTCTCTCACACACACACACACACACACTTTAGTTAATAATCTCTGGAAATACCCTCATAGACACACACAGACATATGCTTTACCAATCTCCAAGGTGCTTTTAAATCCAATCCCGCTGACAATCAAAATTTACCATCAAACAGGCTCTACCCAAACTAATTCATCCATTTTTAACCCCCATTACCCTGGCTCACCCTTCACTCATATCTCTCTCCATCTCTACCTACTGACACCTCTCTACCCTCAATCACCAAAGCCTGATGCCAATACCACCTTCTCAGACAACCCACTCCTATCCAGTTCCTCCAACCTGGTCATCTCCTGGGCAGTGAGATCAGTCTCCTTTGTGCTACAATTGTTTCTGAACTACTGTCTGCTCTAACAAGCAGCCTGGAGGGGAAGGCAAGCACCATAGCATGAGGTCTCAGATGTACAAGCCCGTGATACACATTGGATGAATGGATGGATAGATGGGTGGGTAGATGGGTGGATGGAGGAGTGGGGGATGGAGAGATGGGTGGGTGGCTAGAAGGATGAATGGTGGATGGATGGATGAACAGATGAATGAATGAGTTGTAGGAGGGGAGATGACCCACAAAAAGTTCAGTGAGGCCCCCTGCTCCCCTACTGCTCTTGGGAAATAGGATTCCCTTGTCTTAGACCTTCTCCCCCAACGGAGGCTGGGAATGCAACCTTTGTTCCTTCACAATGGACCTCAGTTTCGTATAGATAAGATGAGGACATTGGATTTGATGATTTTTTTAGACTCTTCCAGCTCAAAATATGTGCATCCCTGGCTAGAATCTGCCTGAAAGCAGGGAAAACTGACTGAACTCAGCTCAGCTTAAAGGAGACTATGAAAGAGTTTAGACAAAGATGAAAAGAAGGAAGAGAAGAGGGAAAGAAAAGAAAGGGGGAAGAAGGGAAAGAGAGAAAAAAACATCTATTTCCATATTCCAAATTAAAAATGCACTTAGCATGTAACATTTCTCAAGTACATAATTTCTTTTAAAAAGCCATTTTGAACCCATTGAATTCAGGATCATAGCAGGTAAGTGATGAATTCCCTATTATAGTGAAGAGGCCTTACGCAGGGATAGCCTGGGGCAGAAGATGTCAAAAAGAAGGAGTTGAGTATGTAGGAGAAGGGTGATGGCTCTTCTGGCCACCTTCTCTCCCTCTTTAGCCAGAGCACCTCCTCTATAGTCTACTTTATATGATAATCTTATGAACCCAATATATTGTTTGAATAAAAGGTTTCTGGTGCCTTTTTTTTTGCCCCCAACACCACTTAACTAATGAAGAGAAACAAGAGGCCTAGGAAAAAGTGATTTTTCCCAAGGTCATACAAGTGCATCACACAATCCCCAATAGCCTTGATCCAGGTATCAGAAATCCAGTCACATCCGTGGGAGGCACTGCCTGGATGCAGTGGCCCCTCACTGGGCAGTTGGGAGCATACTCTGGCTCCACCCCAGTGGCTTCAGTGAAGTCACCAGCTGCCTTTAAACAACTCTACTAGGACAGGAACAAACAACCCAAGCCAATTAGTAACCAGAAAATCTCTTAGAGGGCGAACACCAGAAAAGGGGGGCTCAGGGTGGCAGCCCAACTTGCTGCAAGCCTCACAGTCGAAAACCTTCCTAAAACAACCCCTTGGCTGCCTTGGAGCATAATTTAATCTTCCTTTGATGAGTCCGGATCTTGCCCTGCCTCAGGCCACTTGGAGAACATCAATAACTGCTGAGCCCAGGTGGTAAGCAGAGAGGAGGGGTGGAACCCGGGGTTAACCAGCTGACCCTGCTCTGCGGGGCAGTAGGGGGAAGAGCTGGCTGGCACCCCAGCAGGAGGAGTCCAGCCTGAATGCTGGGGTCTAAATGTTACCTTAGCGGAGGAGGGGCCCCAGGCACAGAATAGGAAACCTCTCCCCAGCCAAGGAGCCCTAAGGGACCCCTTCTAGCCCCCAGACTTGGGACGGGGGGAGCTCCCAGGAGTCCCTGGAAGTAGAAACAGTCAACTAAAAGCAGGTAAGAGTGATGATGAAGACTTTGCTAAGAGAGAGGCAATAATAGCACAGTGCCCCTACAGACCTTTGTAGAAAAGTTTAGCTCTGAGGCACAGAAATGGAGTTGGAGACACATTGCCCCTGCCTGCCACTGCCTTGCTGGGGAACCATGAGTAAGTTACTTAACTTCTCAGTTTCCTAGCTAATGATGCTGGAATAGTAACAGGGCTGCTGTGAGGGGTAGCTGAGCCTAAAGTTGGCTAGTTCAAGATAGGGTCTTAGTCTCTGCTGAGGAAACAGCTAGAAGGACATACTTCAGAACTCTCCTGGGTTGGCTTTGGGTGAAATTGGATAGTTGGTTGGTTTGGTTTGGCTTGTCTGAATTTTATGCAAGAAACACACAGCATTATATAATTAAAATCAAATTAAGAATGAAAAACAAAACCATAGGGACTGCAGTTGGCCCCCAGAGAAAAGAAGCTACCAGAAGAGGAGCATGTCCTTGGAGGGCAGGATGAAAGGGTGGCCATCTGTTTTGGAGGTTCAGACAGTAGAGGTTCTGGCTGCCCCAGGGGCCCAAAGCATGGTGTCCCTGAGCCCATAAGGACAAGCATGGGGGACTTTTTCTGTCTTGGGATGCCCTAACATTTTCTGAGAAGCAGTACCCATGCACCTATTCAGGAGTCACCAGACAGGAAAAGGTGGTACAGTGAAGAATGCCATCTGCTCACAGGTGTAGCCTCTCCCATTGGCTGATCTAAGCTCCAAGTCCTTACAGCATCAGCTTAGAGGGACCTCAGGGCTCAGGCCAGACCCCTTCCTAGACTCCCTTTGCCAAGGCTGCCCAGCCATCTGTACAGCCAGCAGCCCTTTAGGTTTAGCCATGCCATCCTCCCAACTTCCCAACCCTCACCCCACCAGCCTTCGCTAAGGCAGCCCTTTCAGGAGAGCTTGGTGGGTCCACAACATTTTCCCTGCCAGTGATGTTAATCCTCCAAAGAAAGTCAAACATTAGCTCAGGAAACAGCTTATGCCTTATATAAGTCCCCCCTGGGGGAGGCACAAACACAGCTTGTTGGAGCTGAGCTGTCCAACCACAGCAGCTGCCGGACCTTAGGACAGAGCACAGACTCAGCTACATCTACCACAAGCCCCAGCGGATTCAGCCCCAGCCACCAACCAGGTGAGAAGGGATGGAGGGCCCCTAAACCCAGCACCCAGGAACTCCCCACCAAGTCCAGGTCTTCCTCACTGTGACTATTAAAGCGTCTAATGCCCTCTAGGATCTGCTTAGGCTCTTTCTGATACTCTAGAAAAGGGAGCCCAGTCCCGGGAAACTCCCAAAAGCCAGGAGGCTCTCAACTTGGGGAGGTCCTTCCCAGCCAGCAACCTGAGTCGGCTAACCTGTGTATCTGCTTGAAGCAATAAGGGATGTCTTTCATCCACTCCCCCCATTCATCCTGTGTAGCCCATATCCAAAACGGACCCTTCGGTCCCTGCTATGCAGCTTGCACTGTCCTATGCATGCAGCCTAGATGAGTACACACATGCAATCACAGGTATACACATACAATAGAACACACACACACACACACACGAACTCACACAGTTGTGCCTTTATGCTCCAGCCTAAATGTACCCATACCTGAAGACACCTCTGTGCCCACACACCTGGATATACATCTATACCTGATATACCACATTTCTCCATGCAGCTGGGTACTTCCTTATGCAACCACAGATGAACCTGTGGATATACACATTCTTTACACCTTTACACCCACATAGCTCTACAAGCTTGTGTTCACGTATACGCCTGGGCACATCATCACACATGTGTGGCTCTGCACTGCCCCATAGGCCTACACATCACACACACACACCTCCCAGCCCTAGTGCCATGCTTACAGTTCTGGTTCATCTTGCCCAGCACCATGACTTTCTCCGAGATTCTGGACCGCGTGGGCAGCATGGGCCCCTTCCAATATCTGCACGTGACCTTGCTCGCCCTCCCAATCCTCGGCATGGCCAACCACAACCTGCTACAGATCTTCACAGCCACCACCCCTCCCCACCACTGTCGTCCACCACCCAACGCCTCCTCAGGGCCCTGGGTGCTTCCCACGGGCCCTAATGGGAAGCCTGAGAAGTGCCTCCGTTTTGTTCATCTACCCAACGGCAGCCTATCCAATGAGACCCAGAGAGCCACCGAGCCATGCCTGGATGGCTGGGTTTACAACAGCACCAGGGACACCTTTGTGATGGAGGTATGTCTGTTACCATCTCCCCCTCCACTACCTCAGGTACCCCCACATATCCTATACCACTCGTGGACAGGAGAGGAGGAGGGGGCCTTGCTTTCCTGGGATTCAAGGACAGGGTGCTGGGCAGGCAAAGAGGAAGGATCCAAGTACAGATGCCTTGGATTCCTCCACACTCAGAGTCCAAGAATTTCTTCAACAAACAACTATAGAGCGCACCATCCCTGCTCCTGTGGGGTCTCTAGCCTAGTGGCATAGCACCAGTTAATGAAAGCACCACACAGAGAAAAGTAGAATTACATCTTCAAAGAATTTCGTGCTATGACCTTAGACTATGGGCAGCGGGAGAGTGAGCATTAGAGGAAGCTGCCCTAGAGAGGTGGTCCTGGAGCTGAAATGCAAATGTCAGGCAAGGGTTAACCAGGTCAGGTCATGAGGAAAAAGAGGGAAACTCCATCTGTTGCAAAGGTTTCAAGGTGGGATGCAATGTGGAGGAGGGTGTCATGTAACAGAGAGTTCAAACACTCCCAAGCAAAACCAGAAAGCATTTCATCCACCTCCACGGGCACTCACCAGTTCACCTCCCATTCGCTCGTCCCTTCATGGATTTGCTGGCTCTCTCACCTGCCATTTCCAGGAGCTACAGTTAAATCAGATCATTCAATGATCTGACAGACATTCTTCTGACTGTAGAAGAACATGACAGGAAGAAGGTGAGGAAATGGAAGTTGGCATTTATTCAACATCTACTACCTACCAGGCACATTTTAGTGCTTTGCAGATATTGTCTCATTTGATTCCAACAGTAATGCTCTGTTGAGTGTGATTTCTATCTCCTTTACAGATTTAAAAAAACCACTAAGGCTCAAAGAAGGGAAGTGGCCGCCCAGTGCCACACAGCTGGATAGTTTCATAGCTGGAACTTAAAGTTGAAGATCATAAGTGCAGGAGGATAAATGGTGTTTATAAGAGTTCAAACAAGAGCTACTTCATGGTGGAAGTAGCCTCTGAGGAGAGGTGATGTTTGCATTCCCCCTTGGAGACCATGAGTTCCTCAAATGCAGGATCCAGATTTTGCCTCACTAGAAGAGCTGCCTTGCAAAGCCATTATACCTGGTGCCACCCTGTGGGTATGGGCTTCTGGAATCCAGGGAATGTGGTCTCTCCAAGGGAAGTATTAGTACATCTAGTTCACAGATGAGGAAACTGAGGCTTAACCTGGTTCCCTGACTCTCCCCTGCTGGCAGAGGTAGGGTGGATTTGAATCCACGGCTATCTACACTCAGCCTATATAATTGTTATTCATTCTTACAAACATATTTATATATAAGTCACTTTTTAAGTGCCAGATACTATTCTAAGTACTTGCAAATATTAACACTTTTAATCTTCTCGACAAGTATAAGGTAGTTAGTATTCCAATCACATTTTTTAGATAGGAAAACTAAAGAATAGTGAGGTTGGTTAGGGTCACAATAATAGGGTGTATTCAAGGTCACACCCTATTAAGTGGTAGAATCAGGATCTGAACAGGGGCACCTGGTGCCAGAGCTGTGCTCCTAACCATTACATATTCTTTGGTGGTACTGGGATTTGAACTCAGGGCCTCACACTTGCTAGACAGGCACTCTACCACTTGAGTCATTCTGCCAGCCCCCTAGCTGTTACATTTGCTGCTCTCATATCCCCTAGATTATATTTTCTCCTTATCACCCTGCATCAAACATAGTGTTTGAAATGCTTCAAGTATCCAACATATTTACTGATGCCTACTGCAGAATATTGAGCCCAGTGGAATCAAAGAACACATTAGCCCTGCCTCCCCTAGAAGCTCACTTCCAGAGAATACACAGGCCTACCCCTCAAGAGTTCTGGTAGTTTGATGGGATATGCACACTGCCCAAAACAGGGATTTTCAGCTGCCTTGTTGTCTGCTGTATCCCCAGCACCTGGAATAATATCTGGCACAGAGGAGGTACTCTGTGGAATAAATATTTATGGAATGAGTGAATATATGCCCTGTAAACTCTGAATGCTCTGGGAGCCCAAAGGAGAAGTTTTTAACCAGCTGCAGGGAGAATCCCAGAGTGCTTTCTGGAGTCAGCAGTTCCTGCACTGAGTGTGAAGGAGAGGTGAGAGGTAGACAGTGAGTTCAAGTGACCAGATGCATCCAGACACAAGGTACAGTATGTGAGGGGTCAAATGCAACGTCACAGAAACATGAGGAGTGCAGGGCAGTCAGGGTTGCAAGTCACTGTTGCTAGGAGCAAACAGTGGGGTAGAGAGGCCACTGGACATAGGGCTGGAGAGGACAGTAGGAGGGCCTGGCTCGGTCACTCAAGCAAAGATATGGCCTCTGTAATAAGCAATGAAGAGCCATAGTATGAGGTAGTGTTGAGAGAGCAGAGCAGAGTGGTTTGCTTAGACTGCCTTCTGAGACTCGGTCATCACTCTGACTACAAGGTGGAGAGTGGCTGGAAGAGTTTTAGTCTAGCAGCAGCTGACCCAGCAGCACAGGAATCTAGGAGCCTGTTTCATCCTCACAATAGTGCTCTGAAATCAACACCTCTGTTATCCCATTTTCACGGATGAGGAAACTGAGGAACAGGTCACTAGCCCAAGCTATCATAAATGATAGCTCATCCATAAATGATGGAGTGGAGTGACAATCCTGGGGGGGTCAGGCTCCAGAGCCCATGTTCCTTAAGGCTGCATGACCCCTGGCCAACAATTTGTGAGACTGATCGTATACCCTGTAGCCCAATGAGAGTGTTGGGTGGGCAGGCTTACCCACAGATGGGCCTTCCCCGCTTAGAGTAGACCCCCCCAGGGCAGGGATGGAGTCCTTCCCACCCATGTCTGTCATCACAGGATGATTTGCATGCCAGTACTCAGTCAATGCTGAATGAAGACCATGCTCCCTCAGAGCCCATAGGGATGCAGACACTGCTGGCTGCTGGACAACAGCTTCCTTTCCAGGTCTCACTTTAGGTGGGCTCCCAGGAGCCTCGCCAAGAGCAGAGGTTGCAGGCCTGGTACCCAGTCAAGCATCAATTCACCTCTGCCAGCCAAGTTCCCACTCACCATTCCAGCAACTGGGGCAATGTGAATCTACATCCCAGCAGGATAGGACACAGGGGTCAGCAGGCCTCTGGGGACTGTACTCTTCTTCACATTAGATCTCATTTAGCTCTGTGTCAGGCTCTAGTTCCCTGGGGACTTTCTGCTAGAGAGTCAATGGGAGGGAGGTCTCTGCCCAGGCATTGAAACATTAGTGGCCAGACCCACCCAGCCACGACACCAACACCACCAATCAGAGGGCAAGTGTAAAGCCCTCTGATTTTTCTGTTCGTTCAGCCATGACAAGTACAAGATGCACTTGCTGAGGGTGGGATGGGATGGAGCTCTGGTTCCTGTGTGACAGAGGTAGAGCAGTGCTGGACCTTACCTAGGGTTGAGTCTCTAGCTCAGAGGCAGAGGACTGGATGTGCTGGCTCTGGTGCAGAGGATGGTAATGAGGAAAGCAGGGGCATTTAGCAATGAGCAAGCTCAGCACAGGTGACCATGGTGAGTAGAAGCAAGAGGCTAGCCCCCATACCAGCCGTATAGGATGGTGTAACTATATAGTTAGGCAGTTAACGTTCATCTCCTGACTCCGCCATTTAGTAGGATGTTATAATTCTCAGAAGTCTCAGTTTCCTCATCCATAAAAAGGGATATAATAGCAAGTTTGAGGATTAAAAGAGATATCACAAAGACAGTGCTTAGCATAGGGCCTGGCACCTACAAGGTATTTAACTAATGTTAGTTGCTGCCTACTGCTTTTAACAGGGATGTCTGAGAATTAAAGGGCTTATATCCTCCAGAAAGGTAGGGGAACCCTGCAGTATAAAGGAGAGTTGTCTATCTTAGCCCTTCCCAGATCATCTAGGCTCCCAGACTTTATTTCCTCCACGATCCCTACCCTGCCCCCAACCTTCCTCCAGTGGACCTAGCTAGTCACCTCTCCTCTCCCACTTAAGCACCAAAATAGGGTGAGAGGACTGAGCTGGTGGAGAGACTGATCCAGCACATGGACTGAGTGGGGGGAACAGAGGTAGCCTCCTTCCCCCATCTGATCCCCTAAGCTTTCCTGGCAGGGGTGACCACAAATTCCTTTCTCTTGGTGCAGCCGAGAGGTCAAGACTTTGCAGAAGGAGCTTTACTAAGACATTAAAAGGAAACAAAGGCCTTCTTTTATGTCTGGAAAGTGTGGAAGCCTAGGTACTGGACCCTGGGTCCCTGGAGAGGACTGTAGCTCACAGCCCCACACCGCTAAACCTCAACCCCATGAACCTCAGGACCTGGCCCTGCATAAGCCTGTCTAAGGCCCCTGGAGTTCCTCTCTGGGTCTTAAGCCTCCCTGTCCTATCTCTAGGGACACAAGAAGACCATCCTACACACACACACACACACACACACACACACACACACACACTGTGTCCTTGGAGGCCCTGTGGTCAGATACTATAGAAGCAAGGACCCTGCCCCATAGGAGAGGATCTCCACCCTGGGGAGGAACCCCTTTAGAGTCCCTGGCCAGCCACCTCTAAACTCCCTCCATCCCTATATCCCCATCACCAAATCCCCAGACTTCCCAGCTCCAGGGCACTTATCCATCTCTTATCTCCTGCCCTATTCCTACTTCACATCCCCACTGGCTGCCTTCAGCCCTGATCTGGACAGCCCCTCCTTCCACCTCTTTCCTTGCCTGCAATATAATTCCTGAGATAGGACTTAAGAGCCCCACCCAAGCCACATTTCTGGCCAGCCTGATCCCAGTGATAGCCCTAAGCTAGAAAACCCCTGACCTTGAGCACAGGAGGCCTGAGGCCATTCTGTGGGCTATCCAGGCTCAAGAACTCACTCAGTGGGTACCTGCTGTGTATAGCACCTGAGCTGGTACTTTGCATTCCTTCTGCTGTGACCCTACAAATCAGGTGCTATCATTCCCATTTTGCAGAGGA